AATGGTGTGTTGGATTTGACTTTTGTCAATAATGTCTTTTATTGAAGAGTTAAGCTGCCTGTGGATGGTTGCAAATCAGTAGGTGAACATACTGCCTGGACCGACTGAGTCTAAGGAAGCATAAAGTGCCATTTGAAACAGAATGTGACTACATGCACACAGATGTTTTCAGGCATTGGGCTCCATGCACACGGGGCGTTTTAATAACGCTGGTAACATTAGCTGTGTAAAGTCACATTAAAAACCTGAGTTTTTCACCGATTTTTAGCATTTGTTTTTGTTAGCATTTAGTGGCATTTTGCCGCCTTTTTTCACGTTTGCATTTGTTTGGTGAAAAAAAATGTTTTGGTCAAAAAAAGTTCAAAAAAGCTGGTTTGCTGCAATTTACCACGTTTTGCCGCGTTAGAGCATTTTTACAGCTAAAATACTAAGAAACCCACTAGTTCTGGGTTTTTTTCCAGCCAGAAAACATTGATTGCAGTCTATGTATGTATGGGCACGTAGGATAACATGCTGGGGGGTATACTGGCTGTAGAAAAAAATGTCAAAAGCCAAAAAACAGCCGCTGTAAAAATGTCCCGTGTGCATGAGGACTTAAAAATAATTGATGTAAAAAAACACGACTCTGTGCTTCTGTCAGGCTAGGTTCACACCTGTGCGGGTGGTGCCACTGCGGATCCGTACGAAAATCCGTGCAGCCGCACCCCCCGCACAGAGGAATGCGGACCTGCGGGGCGGGTGCCATTACTTCTAATGACACGCCACCCGCACTGGAAAACACAACCGTACTGGGAACCTCAGCTGCGTTTTCGGAAGAAGTGCAGGGACTTCTCCCTTGCGTGTCACGGGGCACAGGAGTCTATTCAAATGAATGGCTCTTGTGCCCACTCAAAACGTGACCCGCATGGCCGCATAGATGTGATCTGGGGCCAAAATGCTGTTGTTTCTGTGCATTCCTGTTTACCCACGCATGCGTGTTGATACATTTTCCAAATGCGAAACGCTTTCTCATGTGCACGCCATTTTGGCTTTATATACACTTTGATTTCCACCTTTTTCATATAAATGCCCCAAAATGATAAAAAATTCTGATGATAATGATTTTCTGTTTGAAGTTCACTGAAGTTTACTTAAAATGTCCTCAAAATATAATCCAGGAAGTCAGTGAATTCAGAGACCCCCCAGCAGAACCCCCCCGTCATGTCTGACCGCAGTGGGAACGTCAGGTGACACACCGTCTGCGCACAACTGACGCACACACAGTGGATTTCAGAGGCTCTCCTGGCCAATATCACTCTTATCATCACTGCGATTTGTGTCCCTGTACAGGGGGTGGGGGACTACTACTCACATCCTCATCAGTAGTGCCAGCTAGAGTACAGTAAATATTTGTGGCAATGTGTAATCACTAACTCATGGATGGGGCTGCATTATATCAATGCGTTTTTCTGCATCTAGTCTGGTTTTTGTCCAATACTGGAGAACACCAAGAGAGACGCCCTAACATTCCGTCCCCGATATAGAGGGACAAATTCATTATGTATCCCTCACATCATCCTCCGCACCAGAGGAATGTAGTATGTAAACCACCTGTGTTACTCAGAATAAAGACAAATCTAAAGATCAGGAAGCAAAGCTGCTATCACCTGGCTAGAAACCTGAATACATTGCAGACATAAAAAAAGAAAATGGTGTTGCGCTTCCATACACAGTACCTAAATGCACTTAAATGGCATAATTATTGCATAAATGGGCGGCACAGTGGCTTAGTGGTTAGCACTTCTGCCTTGCAGTAATTGGGTCATGGGTTCGATTCCCAACCATGGCACCTCCTGCATGGAGTTTGCATGTTCTCCCTGTGTTCGCGTGGGTTTCCTCCCACACTCCAAAGACATGCTGGTAGGTTAATTGGCTCCTGCCTAGATTTTCCTGGTTTCATCCCTGGCCATGTGGGATCTCCTGGGGAAAGACCTGGCAACCTACCCTGTAAAATAATTGCTAAGAGTATTCATGGAAAAGTCACTTACAAGTGACAGTCCATGCAATTGCCAAGGGTCAGATATAACTGAATAGATAGTGCATAAATATAAATCTCAAATAAATTCTAACAAAAGAAATATACACATCAAGAAAGGAGGACAATATCATGTGGAAATATGCAAAAAATATATATATAAATATGTAAACAAGAAATAAACATCGCACACTCATGAACATGGTGAGACAATATACATGCATCCCTTATATCAGGGGGATACGATTTCCCCGCACTGCTCCTGTGTGAACCCAGGCTTGTCATAGTGACCTCAGCTTGGGTTCACACTGATGCGGTGCGGGAAACTGAATGCGATTCAGACAGGAATCGCCCCGCATTCCTGTTCAAATCACATGTGATTCTTTGCAGTGTGATTGGAGCCCGTTCATTTTGTATAGGCTCAGATCATACCGCAAAGGTATCGGTACTCGTGATCAACAGTAAAAAAATGGTATCAGTGCAAACCTAATATTAATAGTGTGCGGGGGGGGGGGGGGGGGGGTAGTAGATTGTAAGCTCCTCTGGTGCAGACATAAAAAAGAAGATGGTGTTGCGCTTCCATACACAGTACCTAAATACACTTAAATGGCAAAATTAATTGCATAAATATAAATCTCAAATAAATTCTAACAAAAGAAATATACACATCAAGAAAGGACAATATCATGTGAAAATATGCAAAAAATATATATAAATATATGTAAACAAGAAATAAACATCGCACATTGACGAAAATGGTGAGACAAATATACATGCATCCCTTAAATTGGGGGGGAAAAAAAAGTGACATAAATCACAAATAAAGTGAAAAGTAAATGGTGTAAAATATGCCTGAAAAAGTGCCGTGACCAGAAGACTCACAACTGGTGTGAATATTACAGTGAGACTATCAGGATAAAAACCTGACTCACAACAAAACTTTTCAGACCACACAAAGCCTTCCACATGAATGTGTTACAAAATGTGATAAGTCACCAAAATAAACAATATATAACTTGTGATCAAATCCCTAATTGGGATTTATTTGTATAAACACAAACAGATAAAGTGTCACAACGATATATCACAATGTGCTGCAAAATAAATAAAAAACATAAAAACAAACCCTACTAGCCACGTAATACCACGAATAAAAAACAAAAAAAATGTAAAAAAATAATTCACAATATTTGTGGTATTACATGGCTAGTATTCATGCCAGTTGTGGGTCTTCTGGGCATGGCACTTTTTCAGGCATATTTTATGCCATTTACTTATCACTTTATTTGTGATTTATGTTACCTTTTTCCCCCTGATTTAAGGAACGCTTGTATATTGTCTCACCATTTTTATCAGTGTGCGATGTTTTATTTCTCATTTACACATTTTATATATATTATCACATGATATTGTCCTTTCTTGATGTGTATATTTCTTTTGTTAGAATTTATTTGAGATTTGTATTTATGCATTAATTATGCCATTTAAGTGTATTTAGGTACTGTGTATGGAAGCGCAACACCATCTTCTTTTTTATGTCTGCATCAAAGCAGCTTACACTCTACTACCCCCCCCCCCCCCCCCGTCACACACTATTAATATTAGGGTTGCACTGATACCATTTTTTTTTCCCGTTGATCACGAGTACCGATACCTTTGCGGTATGATCTGAGCCTATACAAAATGAACGGGCTCCAATCACACTGCAAAGAATCACATGTGATTTGAACAGGAATGCGGGGCGATTCCTGTCTGAATCGCATTCAGTTTCCCGCACCGCATCAGTGTGAACCCAAGCTGAGGTCACTATGACAAGCCTGGGTTCACACAGGAGCAGTGCGGGAAATCGTATGCGATTCGGACAGGAATCTCAGTACATTCCTTTTTAAAGTCACATGCAATTCTTTGCAGCACAATTTGAGCCCGTTCATTTTGTCTGGGCTCAAATTGCACTGCAAAGGTATCAGTTTTGAGTATTGGAGCATTCATGTAAGTACTTGGTATCGGGCAACCCTAATATTATCATACATTTCTATAGCTCTGACATATACCGCAGTGCTGTACACAGAACACTGAGCCAGTCACATTAGTCTCTGCACCAGAGGAGCTTACATTCTAATGCCCCCCCCCTCTAATGTCCCCCACAGTCACACACTATTATTATACATTTATATAGCTCTGACATATACCGCAGTGCTGTACAGAGAACACTGAGCCAGTCATGTCAGTCTCTGCACCACAGGAGCTTACACTCTAATGTCCCCCCACAGTCACATATATTATACATTTATATAGCTCTGACATATACCGCAGTGCTGTACAGAGAACACTGAGCCAGTCACATCAGTCTCTGCACCAGAGGAGCTTACACTCTAATGTCCCCCTCAGGGGCGGACTGATCATTTGGAAACTCGGGCACTGCCCGAGGGCCCGGGCCAAGGGGGTCAGTAGGGGGCCCCATGAGATGCCCCTGGTACCTTTTTCATAGGCTTTTTTGAGTTTGGGCAAGGACACAGGGGCCCCATGATCCCCTATTGCCCGGGGGCCCCATGAGTTTTCAGTCCGCCCCTGGTCCCCCCCACACAGTCACACACCAGGGGCGGACTGACCATTTAGCCACTCGGGCACTTGCCCGAGGGCCCGGGGTCAGTAGGGGGCCCCATGAGATGCCCCTGGTACCTTTCATAGGCTTTTTTGGGTGTGGTTTGAGTGTGGGTGAGACACAGGCGCCCCATGATTTCCTATTGCCCGGGGGCCCCATGAGTTGTCAGTCCGCCCCTGTCACACACTGTTGTTATTATACATTTCTATAGCTCTGACATATACCGCAGTGCTGTACAGAGAACACTGAGCCAGTCACATCAGTCTCTGCAACAGAGGAGCTTACACTCTAATGTCCCCCCCCCCTACAGTCACACACTATTATTATTATACATGTATATAGCTCCTCTCCGCTAGAAATGAAGAGTTTAGGGTGGATACTGACCAGTGTACCAGGCATCCTCCTCCATGCAGGCGACACTCGTGAATGAATTGGATGCATTTTCTAAAATGTTGAATTCTGACAAAGAAAACAGAAGGAGATGAAAAGATCATTAGAGAATTGATAGGAAAGTCTATCTGGTCACATAACCTGAAATAATCTGTTTGTCATCAGTGGTGACCAGGGGCGGACTGACCATTTGGAAACCCGGGCACTGCCCGAGGGCCCGGGGTCAGTAGGGGGCCCCATGAGATGCCCCTGGTACCTTTTTCATAGGCTTTTTTGAGTTTGGGCAACGACACAGGGGCCCCATGATCCCCTATTGCCCGAGGGCCCCATGAGTTGTCAGTCCGCCCCTGCTGGGTGACACTCAGAAAACATACAGCAGGCAGAAAAAAAGGACAATCCCCACAGTCTGCTTACATTTGTCCCATCTGACTGGAGAGATATCAGTAATGTGTTTTTCTGTCTATATACAATTAGGCCTTGTTCCCCGCAGTCTGCTCCAACCCACACCCTGCACACAGTCAGGGATTTTGCCTAGGCTGAGATGATGTCATCAGTTTGCTGCAGGCAGGAGGAAGCATTTCCTCAGTCTCCCCTTCTTCACTGATCAGACTGTACATTGTAACTTTGTACTAAGTCATAAAGGGAGAGGCTGCAGCAGGGGGCTGATCTGTGTCAGACATTTTATTCTACATTTCACAGATTTTACTTATGTTTTATTAGAGAAATATGCTAAGACTCTCCTGCAGGAGGAGAAGAGGCCATCATGGCGGCTGTACTGCACTCCTTGCTATTGGAGAAATGGGTGGATTCTGGTCTTTGGGTCATGTGATCTCAGACATCGGTATTATTTGTACACGGCCAATCTCTCCAAGTTTCAGGAAGTTGCTGTCAGCTGAGTCTCTGGTTTGCTGACAGTTTCAAATTTTCCCCAGAAATCATTCCTCCAATAAATGTGACAAACCATTGTTTTGGATAACAAGACCACCTGCCCCATATCACATGACCACGGCTTGTAACTGCCCTGTACCATGTGACTCCCCCCCTATCATCTGCCCCATATCACATGACCACGGCTTGTAACTGCCCTGTACCATGTGACTCCCCCCTATCATCTGCCCCATATCACATGACCACGGCTTGTAACTGCCCTGTACCATCTGACTCCCCCCACTATCATCTGCCCCATATCACATGACCCCGGCTTGTAACCGCCCTGTACCATGTGACTCCCCCACTATCATCTGCCCCATATCACTGACCCTGGCTTGTAACCGCTCTGTATCTTGTGACTCCCCCCCTATCATCTGCCCCATATCACATGACCCCGGCTTGTAACTGCCCTGTACCATGTGACTTCCCCACTATCATCTGCCCCATATCACATGATCCTGGCCAGTAACTGCTCTGTATCTTGTGATTCCCCCACTTTCATCTGCCCCATATCACATGACCCTGGCTAGTAACTGCTCTGTATCTTGTGACTCCCCCAGTCGGCTGCAGGCAGGAGGAAGCTTTTCCTTAGTCTCCCCTCCTCCAGTGATCAGACTGTACATTGTAACTTTGTAGCAAGTCACACCTATGAAGAAATATACATGTGATACATTGTAGATCCTCTTCATACTGAGAGCATGCTGCATATTGTTTTCTGTATCAGCTCCATCCATGACGAATTTCTGATGTGATAAAACAGCGGGCCGGGTGATTTCTTACTATTCCGGCCCCCGGAGATCCCCCGGCGTGTCTGGTTTTTAGCTGTACTGGGAGCTGCAGTCTGACATTTGCCGGGGTGCAGGATGTGGTGAGCATGACACGCAATTGTCAGGAAGTCAACCAGAAGACGAAGCTGAACCGTGTAGACGGTGAGCACCTTCCTCCGGTATCTGCTGGGGGTCCCTGCAGACTGACTCCATGCAGATCCTGTCTTTGGGGGGCCATATGGCTGGTCATACACACAGCTATTTGCAGCCAATTTCAGTCGGTGACACAATCAAAAGCAAAAGTGAAGACCACCGACCACTGATGTATGACAGACCGCCAATCATCGATCGATTCTAAATATCCAAATTTCATGGATTAACCCCCCCTTCCCCGGTCAAATCAAGCCCAACTTACAGTGAAGTCGCACGATTTCAAAGTCGGGTGAAATGCCTGATTTCAGGTGCGATTTGCAAGACATCTGACACACGTCTATGAAAGTCACACGAAAAGTTGCGCATGTTCTACTGTAGAAATGGGTGTGGCTCCGACCGAGTCAGAACCGCATTGATGTGATCGCTGTACTTGTGGACAATAGGGGGCGACAATGTGACCGGGTGTTAGGAATGATTGTGACCTCCACACAACAAGCAACTCTTCTTTTCCTTCATGTTGGATTGGTGTCTCTTCAGATGTGGGATTGGTCTGAGATTTGATCAACCAGCAATCTCCCCATTGTGGGAGGGGCAGAGACACAATCTACTGCAGGGAAATCTCCCCATTGTGGGAGGGGCAGAGACACAAACTACTGCAAGGAAATCTCCCCAATGTGGGAGGGGCAGAGACACAAAGTACAGGAGGAAATCTCCCCAATGTGGGAGGGACAGAGACACATAGTACTGGAGGAAATCTCACCATTGTGGGAGGGGCAGAGACACAAAGTACTGGAGGAAATCTCCCCAATGTGGGAGGGCAGAGACACAAAGTACTGGAGGAAATCTCCCCAATGTGGGAGGGGCAGAGACACAAAGTACTGGAGGAAATCTCCCCAATGTGGGAGGGACAGAGACACAAAGTACTGGAGGAAATCTCACCATTGTGGGAGGGGCAGAGACACAAAGTACTGCAGGAAATCTCCCCATTGTGGGAGGGGCAGAGACACAATCTACTGCAGGGAATCTCCCCATTGTGGGAGGGGCAGAGACACAATCTACTGCAGGAAAATCTCCCCATTGTGGGAGGGGCAGAGACACAATCTACTGCAGGGAAATCTCATTGTGGGAGGGGCAGAGAGACAAAACTGCTGCAGAAAGATCTCACCATTGTGGGAGGGGCAGTGAGACAAAGTACTGGAGGAAAATCTCCCAATGTGGGAGGGACAGAGACACAAAGTACTGGAGGAAATCTCACCATGTGGGAGGGACAGAGACACAAAGTACTGCAGGAAATCTCCCCATTGTGGGAGGGGCAGAGACACAATCTACTGCAGGGAAATCTCCCCATTGTGGGAGGGCTGAGACACAATCTACTGCAGGGAAATCTCCCCATTGTGGGAGGGGCAGAGACACAATCTACTGCAGGGAAATCTCCTCATTGTGGGAGGGGCAGAGACACAAACTGCTGCAAGGAAATCTCCCCATTGTGGGAGGGGCAGAGAGACAAACTGGTGCAGAAAGATCTCACCATTGTGGGAGGGGCAGTGATACAAACTACTGCAGGGAAATCTCCCATTGTGGGAGGGGCAGAGACACAAACTGCTGCAGGAGATCTCCAAATTGTGGGAGGGGCAGAGACACAAACTGCTGCAGGGAGATCTCCCCAATGTGGGAGGGGCAGAGACACAAACTGCTGCAGGGAGATCTCCCCAATGTGGGAGGGGCAGAGACACAAACTGCTGCAGGGAGATCTCCCCATTGGGATCTCCAGGGGATATAAGAATCCAGTAGCTGATTTAACCAGCAACAAAACTGAAATCTGAATATGGAATGGAGTTATCCTTTATGTTTTTTTTTGTCTTAAGAACACAGACTGAAACAAAAGCAAACAAATCTCTACATTGTATCCAATGATGAGTAAATAATTATGGTTCACTTCCCTGCTCATGCATTCATCATTTTATGTTTTTGTGGCTTATAAACTGGAAAATAAAAAGTCGAGCAGCTGGTTTGGTATTCATCAGATATTTTCAATTCCCTGAACTTGAAGAACATTAAAAGGCCTCCAAAAGCAGAGGTGAGCCTTAGATAAGAAAGCCACTTCCTGGCAGAGCGGCTGGCAGTGAGAACCTCCCCATCAATGGCGTCCTCGAGGGCGAAGGCCTTTCCGGGAAGAGACTCGGGTATCAAAAAGTGCAATGGCGATTACGGATGGACTGGAAACCTTGCAACACCCAATTATAATAAAATAAACCACATAAACCCGGCATCATAACAACATGCAAACTCTTCTATAAATAGCATGACATACACAATAAACTATTCTTAGATACAATGTTACAGCGATCCTCGTATCTATAAACTATACGCGAGAATCTCTATGAGGGAGTATGCTGACAGGACAGCAGAGCACAGGGGGCCACATTATCCATTCTCCAATAGGCAGGCTGGGGGGCGGATCTTGAACCATGCTGCAGTGTGCCCTGGCCTGGCAAGGCTGTCTGGATCACAAGACCGACTAAACAGAATAACAGATCTTTCGGCAGGTACTGCAGTTTACATACAAGTTTCAGCTGTGTGCTTAGATAATCTCTAAGGTTTCAAGAATTTGGCTGCTGTCATTTTGTATCTGAGGTTTGCTCGTTTGCTCAGGCTCTCATGGATCCACTGCTAGATACTGAATATCTTTTGGTGGCTGTTGGTGGATCAACTGTGAATGTGCTTTATAAATGCTTCCTCAACCAACGGCCGCCATTTGGGAATTAAAAAATATTGTAAAGTGCATCTAAACCCAAATAAACAGGATTTATATATTATTATTATTAATATACAGGATTCATATATTATTATTATTATTATACAGGATTTATATATATTATTATTATACAGGATTTATATATTATTATTATTATACAGGATTATATATTTAATTATTATACAGGATTTATATATTATTATTATTATACAGGATTTATATATTATTATTATACAGGATTTATATATTATTATTATTATACAGGATTTATATATTATTATTATTATACAGGATTTATATATTATTCATTATACAGGATTTATATAGCGCCAACAGTTTGCTCAGCACTTTACAATATAACGGGAGACAATACAGCAACAATACAGTTCAATACAAGAGGGATTAGAGGCCCTGATCCTGGGAGCTTACAATCTAGGAGGGAGGGGCTAGTGGTACAAAAGGTA